CCCGCCACCTTAGGTGTATGTGGCTGGCGCCCTAGCCGCTTGAGTCACAGGTGCCGAGCCTGAAGATAATTTCAAAAAGAAATACAGACACATGTTAAAAGCAATTGCCTCTATGGAATGAGATAAGTAGGGCAAGGGACTGTTGTTTAGTGGTCCTGGTCTACTTTTGTCTTAAACGTTGTTGGGATAGGTGGCGGGGAGGCTTTAGTTCACATTCATTATGGAGGTTTATTATTTCTAGGAAGGCCGAAAAGCACTATGTTTTGGAGACCAAAAATTTAATCTCCACGAGGTGGGAAACGAATTTGAGCCCAAAGCTGCTCACCCAGTTCCTGGATCTCTGGACATATGTCTGATCACAGAGGTGCCTTTAGAGAAAATGATCCAGCACCTCAAGGTGAGTGAAACTTCTGTTCTTTTTGGGAAAACTGCTGCAGATGCAATGGAAACAGAAGAAAGACCTAGGGAGGCTTCCCCAACTTTAGACATAACAGGTTTCATCACATCCAGATAATGCCTGTGCACAATTATTGACTCATTATTTTGATTGATATCATTTTTTTTTTGAGACAGAGCCTCAAGCTCTCCCTCTGGGTAAAGTGCTGTGGCATCACAACTCACAGCAACCTCCAACTCCTGGGCTCAAGCGAGTCTCCTGCCTCCGCCTCCCAAGTAGCTGGGACCACGGGCGCCCACCACAATGCCCGGCTATTTTTTGGTTGCAGCCATCATTGTTGTTTGGCGGGCCCGGGCTGGATTCCAACCCACCACCTTAAGTGTATTTGGCTGGCACCTTAGCCACTTGAGCCACAGGCGCCAAGCCAATATTATTTTTTCATGTAAACAAATGTATTTAAACTAGAGAAACTACTGGGTACAGTGATGCATGCCTGTAATCCTAACAGTCTGTGAGACCAAGGTATGAAAATTGCTTGAGTTCAGAAGTCTGAGAGCAGCCCGAGCAAGAGCAAGACCATATCTCAACAAAAAATAGAAAAATTGGCTTAGCACCTGTAGCTCAAGTGGCTAAGGTACCAGCCACATACACTGGAGCTGGTGGGTTTGAGCCTGGGCCAGCCAAAACAACAATGACAACTACAACCAAAAAATAGCTGGGCAATGTGGCAGGTGCCTGTTGTCCCAGCTCCTCAGGAATCACTTAAGCCCAGGAGTTGGAGGTTGCTGTGAGCTGTGATGCTATAGCAGTCTACCCAGGGCGACAGCTTGAGGCTCTGTCACAAAAAAAAAAAAAAAAGAAAGAAAGAAAAGAAAAAAGAAAAGAAAAATTGGCTGGGCATGATAGCACACACCCGTATAGTCCCAGATACTTGGGAAGCTGAGGCAGGATGATCACTTGGGTGCAGAAGTTTGAGGTTGCAACGAACTATGATGATGCCACTGTGCTCTAGCCCAGGTGACAGAGTGAGACTTTGTCTCAAATAAATAAATAAATAAGGCTCGGCGCCTATAGCTCAACTGGCTAAGGCGCCAGCCACATACACCTAAGGTGGCGGATTCGAATCCCCAGCCCGGACCTCCCAAAACAACAATGACGGCTGCAACCAAAAAATAGCCAGGCGTTGTGGCGGGCGCCTGTGGTCCCAGCTACTTGGGAGGCGGAGGCAGGAGACTCGCTTGAGCCCAGGAGTTGGAGGTTGCTGTGAGCTGTAAAGCCACGGCACTCTACCCAGGGGGACAGCTTGAGGCTCTGTCTCAAAAAAAATAAAATAAAATAAAATAAAATAAATAAATAAATAAATAAACTGTAAAAACTAACAGCTATGAAAGGATAACAATGTCATAAGATTCTAACCATTTCCATTCCCTAAACTCTCTGTGCCTGATATTACAAAGAGAGACTTGGAAGGTAGTTAAGGAGATACTAAAGACTTGTTTTTGGCTGAGTGCAGTGGTTCATGCCTATAATCCTAGCACTCTGGGAGGCTAAGGCAGGTGGATTGCTTGAGGCCAGGAGTTGGAGACCAGCCTGAACCAGAGTGCCACCCCCATCTCTGCAAAAAAAAAATAGAAAAATAAGTCAGGTCTGGTGGGACATGCCTATAGTCCCAGTTATTTGGGAGGCTGAAGCAAGAGGGTCACTTGAGCCCAGGTGTTTGAGGTTTTAGCGAACTATGATGATGCCACTACACTCCAGCCTGGGTAAGAGCAAGACAATGTTTCAGAATAAAAAAAAAAAGACTTGATTTATTATTCACCATAGATTTTATTCTGGGTCTAATCAGGATTAAAAATGATTAAAGAGAGAATAATTTCTGCTTCATTTAATTTGGTGTCTCTGTAATACCTAAAATGATCTCATTTGAAGGGGGCATTGATTCCCCTTTTGCAGAACACAGATCAAAATCTTGATTATATTTTGTGCAAAGAACCTGGTCTCCTTTGGGAAGCGATAGTGAAAAAAAATGGTTTGGGCCAGGCGAGGTGGCTCACACCTGTAATCCCAGCACTTGGGAGGCCGAGGTGGGTGGATTGCCTGAGCTCACGGGTTCAAGACCAGCCTGAGCAAGAGTGAGATCCCATCTCTTGTAGTGGGCCCCTGAAGTCCCAGCTACTTGGGAGGCTGAGGCTAGAGGATCGCTTAAACCCAAGTTTAAGGTTGCTGTGTGCTAAGATACCATGACACTCTACTGAGGATGACCAAGTGAGACTGTCTCAAAAAAAGGAAGTATGGAAGGAAGAAAGGAAAGGAGGGAGGGAGAGAAGGAAGGAAGGAAGGTAGGAAGGAAGGTTGGTTTGAATGTAAAATGGGTAAAGCATAGGGGTTAAGAGTGTGGAATTTTGCCCAGACTCCCTGGGGGTAAAATCTGCCTCTGCCAGGGCAGCACCTGTGGCTCAAAGGAGTAGGGTGCCAGCCCCACATGCCAGAGGTGGCGGGTTCAAACCTAGCCCTGGCCAAAAACTGCAAAAAAAAAAAAAAATTAAAAAAAATCTGCCTCTGCCACTTACTAGATAATTCTAAAGTATATTATCTTCCTCATTTTACAGATGAGGAAACTGAGGTATGTCTTAGTTAGGTATTCTGCCCAAAACCACACAATTGATAAATAGCTAGAACAGAGTGAAAGAGGGAAAGATAGTAGGAGATAAACTCAGAAAGATACAGGGGTACACTAGGCTCTTCAAGGCCACTATAAGCAATTAAATTTTTATCTCACACATGGACAATGACAAATGACTTTTGTCTTCTCCTCCCACTTCAGGCTTGTGATGTTCCCATTGAGGAGGGCCCAGTGCCCAGAACGGGGGCAAAAGGGCCTATTATGTCCATCTACTTCCGGGACCCTGACAGAAATCTGATTGAGGTATCCAACTACATTTCATCATAATCAAGGCTGGCCCCGCTCCACTCTGTTCCCTGTGATGTTGCCCTCTCCCTTCCTTCTTTTTTTTTTTTTTTTTAGACATTGTCCCACTCTGTCACTCAGGCTAGAGTGCAGTCAGAGCTCACAGCAACCTCAAAGCCTGGACTTCCTTCTTTTTTTTTTTTTTTTTGCAGTTTTTGGCCAGGGTCAGGTTTGAACCCACCACCTCTGGCATATGGGGCTGGTGCCCTACTCCTTGAGCCACAGATGCTGCCCTCCCTTCCTTCTTGAAAACCCTTCCCCACACCTCTGAAGACTAAAAAAATTTAGGCACTCCATACATCCTACTGGGGTGACATAAGACAAGTTTGACCAAACCTGTATGTCTGGATATCCTCTATCCAAGCTGCCCCAATAAATGAATAGCCCCTTACTGTGAGCTCTTCCTTATTATTGTCTTGGTGCTATGTGTGGGTTTTTGTATAGGGTATGAGTTCTCTGAGCTTTTTGGAGGTCCTTAAGCAGGGTATGATATCTCTTAGGACCAAATTCATGGCTGTCCTCTAGGGATTCAAGGCCCTCCTTATTGGTGAACTCAATCCTTTTTTTTTTTTTTTATTGAATGGTAACTATGTACATTAATGCACTTCTGGCGTACAGTGTGGAGTTTTCACACACAATCTGAAACACTTCCATCAAACTGGTTAACATAGCCTTCATGTCATTTTCTTATTATTTTAAAATGTTCACATTCTACTCTTAGATTCACTTGTACCCTTGTAAGATAAACCTCAGAAGTGATCCCTCCAATCCCCCTCCCTCCACCCATTCCTCCCTCCCTTCTCCCTCCCTCCTCCTCGTATTCTTAGGCTGTTATTAGGTTATAGCTTTCATATAAAAGGTATAAATTAGTTTCATAATACGGGTGTGTACATTGGATACTTTTTCTTCCATTCTTGTGATACTTTGCTAAGAAGAACATTTTCCAGCTCCATCCATGTGAACATGAAGGATGTAAAGTCTCCATCTTTCTTTATGGCTGCATAGTATTCCATGGTGTACATATACCACAGTTTGTTGATCCATTCATGGATCAATGGGCACTTGGGCTTCTTCCATGACCTGGCAATTATGAATGGGGCTGCAATAAACATTCTGATACAAATATCTTTGTTGTAATGCGATTTTTGGTCGTCTGGGAATATACCTAATAAAGGAATTGCAGGATCTAATGGCAGGTCTATTTTTAGTTCTCTAAGTGTTCTCCGGATGTCTTTCCAAAAGGAACGTATTAGTTTACATTCCCACTAGCAGTGTAGGAGTGTTCCCTTTTCTCCACATCCATGCCAGCATCTCTGGTTTTGGGATTTTGTGATATGGGCTAGTCTCACTGGAGTTAGATGATATCTAGTAGTTTTGATTTGCATTTCTCTGATGATTAAGGATGGTGAGCATTTTTTCATATATCTGTAGGCCGTGTGCCGATCTTCTTTAGAGATATTTCTCTTCAAATCCCTTGCCCACCCTGAGATGGGACTCAATCCTTCCTCATCCTTTCTAACTTGCCCTACTCTTCCTGCTGCTACCTGCTGTTTCCTCCACCCCTGGGCCTCACTGAACCCTAGCATCTCTATGACCCCAATCATACCTTCCAGGTCCAGCCCCAGATGATGCTACCTCCTCCTGGAGAGCTTTCTCTGGTCTTACTTCCAGACTATATAGCACTTTTCCCCTTTGGATCTGGTAGGTCCAGACTCATCCCAGTTGAATCTCAGCTCTTGACAGAGTATGTGGAACAAGGTCAAGTTTCCTCTATTTTAGCTGTTCTCAACCTGTGGGTCGCAACCTCTTTGTAACAATGAAAATACATTGCGGCATTAGGAAGGTTGAGAACCACTGCTCTGTTTCTGTCCCCTTCCACCACCACCAAACCATTCACTCATTCAATCAAGAAAAAAACACATTTGAGCAACTACTATAGTCCTAGGCCTTGTTCCTGGCACTGGAGAGACAGCACTGAGCAAAAGAGATAAGCACATCTCTATTTGTGGAGCTGCTATTCTAGTGGAAAACATAGAAAATAAATAAAATTAAGTAAAATATTAACTATGTTAGAGGCTAAGTGCTTTGGAAAAAAAGCATGGAAAAGAGAGAATACAGATAAAAATTGCTGGGGCATTTTCTGATGTCTAATGAGATGGTCTGAGAAAATCTGACTGAGAAGGGTCTTGAGACTAGACCTGAAGAGGTGAGGGAGTGAGCCACAGAGGTAGCAGGAGGAAGAGCACACCAGGCAGAGACCAGCCGGTACAAAGGCCCTGAGACATAAATGTGCCTGTTGCAGGTGAAGAACAGCAAGGAGGCCAGTGGGAAGTAAGACTGTATGGGACCGCACAGGCCAGAATGAGGGCTTTGGCTTTTATTGCAAAAGCCACAGAAGAATCATGATCAGAAGGGGAATGTGATCTGACTCAAGAAGCAGAAGACCTGTGAAGAGGAGGCCACTGCAGTAGTCTAGGCATGCTGTGACTCTGGGGGCAGAAGAGGTGATTTTAAAAAGTGGTTAGGGCCAGGAGGCGCCTGTGGCTTAAAGGAGTAGGGTGCTGGCCTCATATACCGGAGGTGGTGGGTTCAAGCCTGTCCCCGGCCAAAAACTGCAAAAAAATAAAAAGTGGTTAGGGCTCAACGCTTACAGCTCAAGTGGCTAAGGCGCCAGACACATACACCAGAGCTGGCAGGTTTGAATCCAGCCCCAGCCTGCCAAACGACAATGACAACTACAATAAAAAAAATAGCCAGGCCTTGTGGCAGGCGCCTGTCATCCCAGCTACTTGGGCGGCTGAGGCAAGAGAATCCCTTAGCCTAGGCGTATGCTGTGAGCTATGATGCCACAGTACTCTACCCAAGGTGACAGCTTGAGGCTCTTGTCTCAAAAGTAAATAAATAAATAAAGTGGTTAGATTCTGGAAATATATATATATATATATATATATTTTTTTTTTTTTTTTTTGAGACAGAATCTCACTCTGTGCCCGACGTAGAGCACTGCAGTGTCATAGCTCACAGCAACCTCAAACTCTTGGACTCAAGCGATCCTCTTGCCTCAGCCTTCTGAGTAGCTGGGACTACAGGCTCCTGCCACAACACCTGGCTAGTTTTTGTATTTTTAGGAGAGATGGGGGTCTCGCTCTTACTCAGGCTGGTCTCAAACTCCAGAATTCAAGTAATCCACCCATCTTGGCCTCCCAGAGTGCTAGGATTACAGGCACCACCGTACCCAGCCCATATTCTGCAAATATTTTGAAGACAAACACTGGATGAGTTCCCTGATAGAGAAAAAGTCAGCTAGAGAAGAGGTCCAAGGACATTTAGAGTTTTGAAACAAAAGGAGACACAGGCAAATGAATCAGGCAAGAAGAAAAGGAAAGGAATGAATTCCTGAGTGAATGAGTGATGGATGAAGGAGCATGTATCAGAGTCTTTTTTTTTTTTTTGAGACAGAGCCTCAAGCTGTCACCCTGGGTAGAGTGCCGTGGCATCACAGCTCACAGCAACCTCCAACTCCTAGGCTCAAGGGATTCTCCTGCCTCCACCTCCCAAGTAGCTGGGACTACAGGTGCCTGCCACAACACCTGGCTATTTTTTAGTTGCAGCCGTCATTGTTTGGCGGGTCTGGGCTGGATTTGAACCCGCCAGCTCAGGTGTATGTGGCTGGTGCCTTAGCCTCTTGAGCCACAGACACTGAGCCAGTATCAGAGTCTTTGGAAGTAAAAGAGTCCCTAGTCTTATGGATTCTTATCTCTAAACATTCAGTCAGACCCTGTAAGAAAACCCCCAAAAATGCTGGAAGAAAGGAAGTATGAGGATGTGGGTTTCAGTATGTATAAGGCCTTACCAAAAGCTGTAACAGGTTTTCTGCCTAATTTTATTTTTTTTTTTGAGATAGTTTCACTATGTTGCCAATGGTAGAGTACCATGGCATCACAGCTCACAGCAACTTCAAACTCTTGGGCTTAAGCAATTCTTTTGGCTCAGCCTCCCTAGTAGCTGGGACTACAGGCGCCTGCCACAACACCTAGCTATTTTCTTTTGTTGTTGTTGTTATAATCATCATTGTTGTTTAGCAAGCCCAGGCCAGGTTCAAACCCACCAGCCCCAGTGTATGTGACCAACGCTCTAACCACTGAGCTATGGGCACCAAGCCATTCTGCCTAATTTTAAAAGACAGCTTCCTATGGACCCTAAGCATAATTCAGGACATTATATGCCTAAAGATAGATTATTTATGGATGGAAGGAAGGGAGGGAAGGAGACAGAAAGAATGGGAGGGAAGTAGAGAGGGAGGAATAGAAGATGAGTGAATAAATGAATGGGTCAGCTCAGCGCCTGTGCTCAGTGGTTAGGACGCCAGCCACATGCACCAGGGCTGGTGGGTTCAAACCCAGACTGGGCCTACTAAAAACAAAAAATAGCCAGGCATTGCGGTGGGCGCCTATAGTTCCAGCTACTCAGGAGGCTGAGGCAAGAGAATGACCTAAGCCCAGGAGTTGGAGGTTGCTGTGAGCTGTGACACCATGGCACTCTACCGAGGGTGATAAAGTGAGACTCTGTCTCTATAAAAAATAAA